CAAAAGAGTGAGGCCTTCTCCACTCTTCTCAACTTATTTCTTGCTTCCATTCTAGTTTCAAGAGTCTCTAGTTTTTTTGTCTTTTAGTAATAGCTATTATAATTTTTTTTAATATATATTTTTTTATCATTTTTTTTTTAAAAAAAATATTTATTTTTATTTTTTAAATTCTTTTTTTGGTACTAATATTTTTTATATCTATTTTTTCTTAAGCTGCATATTTTTTTTTTTTGGTTTCTTTCTTTTCTTTTGCTTTATATTCTCAAAATTTTCTAAAGATTTTAGTTTTATTTTGCATCAAATAGATCTAATTTTTGTAAAAATAACAAAGTATTTTGAGCCTTCTAAGAATAGTATATTTATAGATCCTATTAAATTAAAGTAAATAAGTGGAAGTATCTTTTTATCATAATGAAATGAAGCTTTAGAAAATTGCTTCTAATACTATTGCCTTGTTAAAAAATCTTTGCAAGTTTTTCAAATTGTATTGAATTGTGGTATTTTTTGTATCTAATTAGTTTGTGAAAAATATTATAAGTTGACATAATATATGTGATCATATCTTTTATCACAATTATATTTTTTTTTCTATATTAATTGAATTGATTTCAAAATCTTTTCTTTTGTTGTAAAAATAATAGAATCCATTTTTTCTATTCCTTGTTCTTGTAGCTATTGCTTTTTTTTTTGTATTCATCATCAAATATTAAACATTATTTTTCTATTAAGACAATCATTTGTAATTATTTGTCAATAATCCTATAATTTGTCAATAATGCCTATAATTTTAAAAATCAAATTATATTAATTTATTAATTATTGATATTTCAATTTGTTATAGGATTGAATAAGAATTTATTTCAGATTTAAGATTTTATTAGGATTTTATTAAGATTCAATTTAAGATTTAGGATTTGATTAGGATTTGGTTTATAATTTACGATTTGATTAGAATATGATTTAGGATTTGGAATTTGATTAAGCTTTGATTTAGAATTTAGAATGTTATTAAGGTTTATTTTAAGATTTAGGACTTGATTAGAATTTGATTAGAATTTGATTAAAATTTAGCTATGATTTATCTAAGATTTACTTAGAATTTACTTATGATTTTTGTTTTTATTTTTTGGGGGGATTTATTTTTTGATAATTATTTATATTTTTTATTATATTTTTAGGATTTTTATAGAATTATTTATGTTCTCTTTATGTTTCTATTAGAGCTTTTAGGATCTTATTGTTGCAATTTTTATTTTACCTTCTATAACCAAGTACCTAGTGCATTTTTAAGCAAGACTTCACATAATACAACAATTTTCTCTAAAATAAGTGTGTTGAAGATGTATTGCTAATGCCTCCTCTTATTCCACCTTTTGTTCTCTTGGTGCCATTCAATGAGTTTCCATTAAGAGCTTATCTCTACCAACTTCAAATGTAGATTGTATCATGTAGGTGATGCTTTAGATTACCATCTTATAACTTTACAGGAGTCCATTGAATACAATATTTATGAATGTCTTGTTTGCAATGGTTTTGTCAAAAGCCTTCAATTAGTTCTTTATATTCATCACTTACTTGGGATAAAATTTAATGACACTTTTCTCTTTTATTGTCATTCTATTCAACTTGCTTGTCAATAATATAATCTGCTATTAATCTCATGCATTGAACATTTTCTTAAACATTTTTTATGAATCATTGTGTTGGAACAATTTTTCAATCAAGTTATCTACAACCAACATGGTGCGTCCAAATTGAGCTCTTTGTTTTGCTTATGCTAGTTGTGTCTTAGTGTAAGATCTACCTACTATAGTCACAAGGAACAATAAGACTTGTCTCTTTGCTTCTACTGTGCCTCATAAGTTTTTTTTCTTCAAGATCGTGGACATCTTCAACTTCCAATTATGTTTATACAATTAGGATTACATATGCACAGTAAAAGATTATTGTGGATTTACCTTAACTTGACAAGATGACGTCAGCAAAGAATGGGGCTCAGGTTGGGTATCACCAACACATAGATCAAGTTACTACACACAAGGTCACTTTAAGAATATGCTTACTCGGTTGCAGATATTTTTATCCGAAGAGTAGACCCGTTTTCTTATCATTTTTTAATGTTAACGACTCGAGGACAACCTAATGAAGAAACACTGTATCAATTAAAATGCAGCACAGGGGCTTGGTTGTGTATCCAGAGGCATTACGTCGAGAATTCAAGCGAGAGTGGATTGCATGCCAAAACTGGAGGCGAAGGAATCAAAAACAGTCATCACACATATTTATAATAAAAAAAAACACCGTGAATTCGTGGTCAACATTCAGAAGTTGGAGGAGTATCACATTCAGATATGTGAAGAATTTCATTCTCAATCTCACCCACGTGGCTAAATTTAATATCGCTACCATCACGCTCACGAGCTCCTGAGCTCAGCCATTCCAAAAAAGCAAGATTCCTGCACACAATTGCCGTTCATGCAACTCCGTGTAACAAACAACAACAGGGGCAACGGTACACAAACTGCACACAGACACCCCAAATTCCTCGCATCCAGAGACCATTATTCTAGACCCTGCCTCGCACGCGAACACCCACTGATTCCGTTAAAGCAGCTGCAGCTGGACCTGGCACAGACCCTGGCTGGAGGGGGGCCCAATCCTAGATACTGCCCCTGCACGCACACAGCTGGTGGGGTTTTGGTACCCCCACTGGAAAAATCCTAACACTACACTGGCACTGCATCATCAAAGCCAGCACGCTTAGCAACACCAAGTAAATATCTCACCTGGGGCTCATAATACCACCACCTCGCAGGCGACATCTAAGACACATCCTGCAAGATCCTTCAACTCCATGACGTGAATGTATCGAAGACTGATGTCTCGTTACAACTGCATTAAGATCTTAATGATTTTTGTGGTGATGCTCCGAGACTGTGCAGCATCGATCTCGGATGCTTGGGTTTCTGCATAGATCAGCTCAACTGTGACAGCGATTCTTCAAATGAATTGCCACAGACATGGGATATGGAGACTGTTTCAGACTTGGACGGTGAGTACTTGCTTTACTCTCTGCACAGGAACTATCCGTTGTCGGTTTCATTACATCCAACATTACTAGAGGGTGAGTCTCCTTTTGCAAATGGAATCAGAGTGTGTACTATGGGGAAAAGTGGGCATCAAAATGTTGCTTTGGATTGAAATAGATGCTTGTACTGTTCTTTGTGAATTCGTGTGATGAGTTGTTTTTATGGACCATAGCGTTTTACAGCATTTATAACAGTGATTGTAACAGGATTTGTTTCTAACATGGTGGTTGAAGAAATTTGAAGTTTGTTGATTCGAATGGAAACCCAACTTTGACGTTCTCAGACACATAATTCTCGAACGCTTTTTTAGATTATATGCTTTAAGAGTAGATCTCACAGTTTAAGCGTCGATGTTTTGAGGGATTAACATAAAACTGTGATTCTGTTTTCCTACCCAAAAATATGGTATTTGTATTTAATTGTACCTTAAAAAATCTGAAGTCTTATTTATTTGATCTTTTTGTGCGCCTACATTCTATACATACAAGCACACTTTAATGCCATAAGTATGATTTATATATGTGTATACATATACAAATAATTATAAAATAAGTTCTTGTCAGAAAAGTTGTGAATACAATAATGGCAAAGTGAAAAGAATTATATCAAATTTTATGTATTCAAATATTATTTTTATTTTTACTGATAGAATGGGCATCTTTTTGTATACGTCCATTGTATTTAATTGTAGTTGTATTTCAATACTAACATTTTACAGATTTAATTTTGAATGGAAATGCTATTATCCAAATTTTGAAATTGCATTATTACTACAAATACATATGTAATTTGAATTTTTTTAATCTTAGCTTGTAATATTTAAAAAATGAAATCAAAGATATGTGATTTTAAAATATGAAAAAAATATTAATCTTATTAACAAGATGGTTTTTGTTTTACAAATTTTAAAAATATATTCTTTAAAGTTATACTTTATCAAATCAGTGAAATCAAAATAAATAAATAAATAAATAAATAATTCTTTAATTGTTATTACATTAAAAAAAACAAAAACAAAAAACAAAAAAACAAAAAAACAAAAAAAACAAAGAAACATTGTTTTTGGGAGCATCTGAATGATATAATTTAAACCCTCTTGTATACTTTATGAGCACAAATTTTTTTACAAGTTAATAATGTTTACAAAACATTCTCATGATTAAAATACGTTACAAATTTCATTGGTAGCATAATTAAATACATCATTATTAGGTCATGAAACCTAAAACGTTCTCATAACCAATGGAATTCAAATGATTTTCTTACCCTTAAACATTATTTTAAACAGAGATATGATGTTACTATATAACTTGAGATAATCATTTACAAATGAAGAATATACATACACATAAATATGTGTTAATTCAATAAAGTTTTTGAAAAAACTATGAATTTCCACACCTTGAGGAATGTAACATGAACCTATATCAAGATCCTCCAAAGAAACCATTCTCAGCACTTTAATACTATTCTCACAAACAATGCTCATATAAATACACAAGTGCCAGTGTACGCAGTTCCAAATATGAACAAAATTAGAAAAATCACAAGTGTGCAATAATACCAATAACAAGAGCACGGTGGATAGACAAAGACTAACATTAACATATACATATGTAAATATATATGCATACATATATATATATATATATATATATACAGAAATGGAGAGCGAGAGAGAGATTTGTACATACAAAGATAGAGAGAATAATAGAATTGACCCCAGACAGTCAAACTATATGCAAAAGCCCCACCTCGCCAGTTTGATCTTCCTTGTCCTTTTCCACGGAGCCCACCACGTGACATGTGGACCGATGCCCAACCGGACTCACTCACTAATGCCCTAAAAATAACATCATCTCAAAACCAATAATAGCAACGCAGTCACGCAAAGCAAGACAAAGCAAAGAAGAGAAATGAAGAGAAGAGAAGGGAAGAGAGGGAGGACGAGGAGGACGAGGAAGAGGAAGAGCGCAGAACCCACCTAGACACACTAGACCCACTGATTTATTCATATATATATATATATATATATATGTATATATCTTTATTCACACACTCACTCACTCACATATACAGACATTAACATAGAGAGAGAGAGAGAGAGAGATGTGTATATCCCTGATCAGAGTAGGAGTGGTATGCAGTGTTGTTGTTGTTGTTGTTGCAGAGAGCCTGGTGCTAGATCTCGCACCACCGCATGCCGTTGAGGTGATGCCACCCGTGAAAGAGATGCGTCTTGTGAGCCTTGGCGATGGCTAAGTCGCACGGGGATCGTTGTGCTGGTTTTTGGCCGCATTGCAGCATGGAGGGGATTTATGACAAGATGGAGGGAGCTTGGAGTTTCGAGGTAGCTGGAGATCGAGTGTAGGAGTGTGGTGATCACAGGATGGATCGCGTCGAGCGATGACAGAACTCGAAGGGGAGCTCGTGGGTTTCCGCTGATGCGAGCTGTCTGTTCAGGTTAGTATTTCAGGTGTTGTTGTTCGTGGATCCGTCGTATATATCTCACATGGATTGTCTTTTGTGGGAACTGGGTTCTGGGTTCTTAGTCTTGCCCTAAAATTCCCCCGCGTGCAGCGTATTGTGATTGACTGGAACTGGAATTGTGCTGTGGAAGTCTCGTGCAAACCTTTTTGATATATCATAGCCGTGGAAGTGTATGTTATTGATTTGTTATTTTAATAGAAGAGGTTCAATGTGGACAAGGAGAGTCCGAACAGAAGGCTTGAACCGTGCGGAGTCCGCGTTTATGGCCACGCACACACTCGCAGTTACTCTGCTTTGGGGTGCCTGGTTTGCAATACAGTGGGAAAGAGCGCCAGGTTTTCATTACTATTTCCTCAAATGCAAACTATTATGTTGATAAGCTGGTGCTGATGTTGAGATCACAAGTTATGACTATTGGAATAGCTCAGTACAAACAGTGCCTGTTTGTAAAGTGTTTTCTCGCAGGATCGATCGCCTGTTCTGAGTGGTTGTCCCGATTTTCCTGTTCGTAGAGACCAGACTGTCTCGAGATAGATGTCTTGCTGTCTTTTAGAATGATACAAAAACCCCACTCGGCTGAGAAGAAACAGAGAAAGGCTGTAAAGTTATAGCACTTCAGCCTTGGGTTACTGAGTAGATCCGGTCCTGCACTTTGTTGCATAATTTCAGCCTTGTTTTAAAATTTGGATTTGTATGAAGCACTTTTATTTTTTTCTAATTTTCTTACTGAATGATTAAACCTGAAACCTGGACCCCTGACACCATTCAGGATCAGAGGGAAAGGATTGTGAGTGTAAGATTTCGGTATTTGGCCAGTCAGAACCTGGCATTGGATCTATTCTTTATCTGGTGACTGCTGCTATATTCTAAGTTTTGTACTCTGCATTGCAGGTGGTGTATGTGTAAGTGTTTACACAGAGACATGTGGTTTGAACTGAAAACTGTTAGATAAACATGAGGCCAGGTGGGACTCAGTGCGACCCATGGGTGAAAAGCGATTTCTTGACTAGCGGTAAGCTAACAGAGGCTACGCATTGTTCAAAACCTATCTCAGTATTTAGGATTCTCATGCAATGCACATTCTGCATTGCAGCTACTATCCTTGGCTTTCGACTCTCTTGTGAGGCTGACCTCGTCAGTGTGCTGCGCGTGGAGGAGGCTTATGGGCAGTTTAGCCGGATTTATCTCGAGGAATTTCACGTAGCCAATGGGATTTTACTCAAGGGTCAAAATACAACAGATGCACCCGAGGGCAATAGCTCACGATTATATGTAGGCCGGCATCCAATTTTGAAAAGACCATGGCCACACCCAAATCAAATGGAAATGGCTCAAGCGTACAACATGATTGCCAGAGTCCAATTGGAACAGCATCGGTTGTATGAAATTAAAAGTTGGAAGCCCATTATTGCAATCACTCCCACTTATCTTCGTACGTTTCAGAGTTTGCATTTGGCAGGTATTGATCCATTTTTTTGCACTTAACCTTCTATCCACTTGGGTATGTTTTACTATTACAAATAACTGTGACGTATAAGCAATCAAGAGGTTTTGAAGTTCGCACCCACGTTGGATAATAAATTATAATGGTGTAATATTCATGATGTACTAGGAGGTCTCAGAATGAGCATTAATGGTGTAATCCAGCTGAGTTCTGCAGTCTCTGATTTTTTGTCAACTGACAGATCATGAGACACGTAATTGACTCTTGGATTATATGATTTGACAGGGTTGATGTGTACGTTGTCACTTGTTCGGGGACCTGTAACATGGATAGTCATTGAGGCAGGGGGTATATCAGCGGAGACTGTAGAGCTGTTGAAACTAGCAAGGGTACACAAGTTGGTGCACTTGGGAGCTTCCGCGCATTTGCCACGGAGCTTACAGGATCGAAGGATCCTGGACTCTCACCTTCGAGTTGAAGGCTTGAGGTAAGATTTTCGAGTTCAACTTAGTAGGTCTTCAATTTCGTCTGCTGAAATTCTCGCTATGACGTTGGTGCATGTTGCCTGAGTAGCTTATGAACAATACCCGATTCAATGAGAACACAATTGGGCCATACAATAGCCACAGTTCGCATGTTATAATAAACAGGGATGGTTGAAAAGAATAAGAAAGGTCAACATGTTCTTTTTGGAAATATGGATATTAGATTAGAGACAGAAACGTAACTTAGTGGCAATGTTTGGCTCCTTTTCTTCTTTATTGATCATGGAGCTCAGTAGATCCAGCATGACACATGCTTATAGTGAAACTATTCTACAGAATTAGTAGCTAGCCGCTCGACCTCTTCTTGTCACATTCACTTGCATTAACTGCAGATATGTGCGAGAGCAGAATTTGGAGGGCGTTGTTGTGTTTGCTGACGTCGGCAACGTGTACAGTATGCAATTTTTTAATGAGATTCAGAAGATTAGCTGGGTGGGTTCTGTTCCAGTTGGAATTCTTGGGCACGCCGGATTTGAAGATCCTGCTCTGTCAAGACATAGGGATTCTCTTACCGAGAGTGGCGTCAGGGTGCCCAGTCGACGTGTGGTAGCATCTCCCCAGGCAATGTTGGCTTTCAGGAATGGCGTAGTGCAAGTCCAGGGACCTGCGTGTGACTCTTTCGGGAACATAACAGGCTGGCATGCAATTGGATCACTCTCTTTAGATGATGAATTAATGAAGACAAACAGTGCTGAAGAAACTAATTTGGTGTGGGCAGGTTTCGTTTTGAATGCCCGGGCAGTGTGGGTATCAGACCCAGACCGGCCGAAATGGATTCAGGAATGGATAAAGTGGGCTTGTGCAGAGGAAGGTGTATATATTGACTGGAGATCTCTCTTGAGGGATGAAGCTAAAGTGGAGACACTTGGACCTTGTAGAAGTGATAAAGAAGTATTCGTTTGGTGGGCTCGAATTGAAGCTCATTCAGATAGCAAGTATCCCTCTCGGTGAGTTTTTTCATTTTACTTTCTCTGTCCATGTATTTGACCGTGAAACCTACAGGCGTTTATTGTTAGCATCATGTCAACGACTTAAATCCCATGAAGGAGAGCTTTCTATGGATACTAGAATTCTTCAAAATCGGAAAATTGAGTTCAGAACTGCTGTAAGCGAAGACTTTATTTTTAATGATATGTGCTATTCTGAGTGTTCTTCGACACGAAGTTTTGAAGAATCTCTTGCGAGCCGTGTTTCACCTGAGAGTATAAGCACATTTATTTAGTTTTTGACCTGCAGCTTCACCTTTTTTGTATTTGGCAAGACCATATCTGTCAACATTATGATTCTCTCTAGTGGTGATAACGTCCAATGGATGTAAACCAACGCAAAAAATTGCATTAATACGCATCAGAAGTACTCACCTGTCAAGTCAGGTTGGAATTGAAGTTAATTTTTTTTTCTGATTGTATGGTTGAGGTGACACCTGCTGACGCTGTATCAGTCTTATAAGTTTTTCAAAATTTGTGTTTTTATTTTTCCTCGAATTCTTACTCTTACAGTTAACCAAAATGGCTATATATGTTCAGCTGGGATTTGGATTCGCCGCCCGAAGTTGTTGTACCCGCGAAGAAAACACCGTGGCCAGACAAGGTCCTCTCTCCCTCATCTCAATTACCTCCTGTGGGAAAACGTAGAGATGGAAACAGATCGGATGGTCGGGATGGTAGAACCAGGCAAAGTCAACGAAGACCACACTCCGTTAAAGGTAAAACTCTTGGTAATCAAAGGGAGACCATTGCCACTAAAAATACGTAGACCTTATTATTTAATCCTCCTTCCTGGCATTGGCCAGGAGCACTTCTGTCCCTGTTGCTCAAGTCTCTCCACATGATTCAGACTTAAGGGCACTTTGGAAGTGGCACTGCCATGGCACCTATGTGTTCAACTTCCGAGTTGTGCCTTTTCCAAGCATGTATGATAGTTCTTTGCTGTACGAGATTAAGCTGCCATTGCCATGGCACTTTCGTTGGAAAATATATGTTATACGAAACGGAACTTAGAATTGCCAAGTGCTGAAACCAGCGTCACCAGAATGTTGACTTTGGTTGGCTACATAATAGTGTTTCACAATGATGTTAAACACCTCCAGTATTTGGATATTTGGAAAGTTCGGGCTTGCAGATATGACTTCGTCAATTGGCAGAGTTGTGTTGCCAGTCTCCCTGGTGCCTGTGATGCTACAACTGCCTGTTTGAAGTGGGGTTTTGGTAGTCATCTGAAATTGATGTTCATGAACTACAAAGTCTAGTCAGTGATGTTAGACCGAGTCTTCAGAGTAGGGCCTGAATGTTGAATTGAAGCGGGTGGTGCGCCTCTGACAGCATTTGATCCTGTCAGTCAGAGATGGACTACATGCTTCTGCAAGCCTGAAACTCAGAAAGCTTCGTTTTTGGCTCTCATTCATCAGCATAGAGTGGATTCACTCATGATGACGTGGGAGTGCATGCATATTCATTACTACTCTGATGTTTTATCCACAATCGTAGCATAGAGGCACAGCAACGTGCATGTTGAAATTTCCTGACAGCATCAATTCTGTACATAAAAATCACCTCACCGTAGCTTGCATGGACAATTGAAGTGTATCTAAATCACCAGAGGTTGCAAAGCTTGGAGTTGTCATGGATAGGTTGTCAAGACTCAGGAACTTTGTCGTGTATCTCAGTCCTAGTCTCTTTGAGGGTGTTTTGTTTTTTTCTCTCTGAACTGTTTGTAGATCTGATTTCGATCAATATTTGGAACCATTGCCATCACTTGGGTCAATAATTACTGCCACGAAATGAACTTTTGCAAAACCGTACCCAACCCCGACTTTATCAGTGATGAATCCTTGAATGATTCTTCAAGCAGTCAAACATCAACTCATAAACCTGTAGCGTTAGATGTTAAAGTCACCTTTTGCAGAGATGATACACACAATAACTAAACCTAAAACCTATCCAACCAAATCAACGGTTGGAAAGGAGATGAAAACTTGCTGCTCCTGAACCCCCAGCCTTGCACGGCAACTTTCAATGAGCTCTTACCATCAGGAGCTGCTTTGCATCTTGGTCATCAGGAATGAGGATTTTTCCAGTAAAGTGAAGTGTGGGATTCATTCCTACAAAGGCCTTGTGAGGGAGTTGGACCCAGTATACCAAATGTATCCATCGGGGAAACCTTTACAGGCTCGGCCATGTGGGCGTCCTGTTTGCTAGTGCCTCAACTTTTTGGCGCTGCAACTGCTTTTACAACCATCTCAACTTTTTGGCCCCACATTGGCCAAGACTAGGTTACGCTTGTCCACCACTCTCCACCAGTGAAGAATTGATCTCCACGAATGCTCACCCTGGGATGAAACCCACCTCAGTGCATCGCGACGCTGACGATGCTTTTCTCTTCTCAGCTGCAAACTTGTTGGATTATTCGGTCCCGTGTATTTGCTATCACCGTAGGGCTTACGAGAGCAGAGTGACGTTTCACCTGTTGCACTACTTTATTATTGATGATGATGCGGTTGAGGGAGCTGTAATACTGTCGAGGATCTAGGTGAATTGGAATCCCGCAGAGTCAAGATTATGCTTAAATTTGGAGATATCCTTGGACATGATTGGGATAAGAAGGAGTGCGTGACATCACAGGGCAAATATGTCCAAACTTACGGACCTCGCATCATGCTCCACAATCAGCCTGTGAGTGTTTGTGAGGCAAAAAGAATTTGACTTTATCGCATCCTGCTTTTCATACACGAGACATATATGTGGTGTCCATCACTGTAAATATCCTGGCATTCCTATCTAGAATAGTCTGGATCGCGCATCCACTAATTTTTGCGTTTCCTAGCATGTACTGCTCCCTTCCTGATGATTAATTCTAGACTTGAAATTAGAATCTGGGATCCCACACTGTGTCCACAGTAAACTTTAGATAGTCTTTACTGCTGCCCCAGAAGTGGCTTGCCATTGCACTGTAAATGAAGGTTTCTACAGCCCCAATTTTACGGGCAGTCAACGGGCAGCTCAGAATCATACCAAAGGCTACAGAAAACAAAGAGTGGGTTCTCAACGAGCTTGGCATCAACATGATTGCCACAAAAACATTTCATAGTGTGTCCATTAACAAGTTGGTGTAGCTACAATTTGGGACTCATACATGTCTTTTTGATCAATGTTTTTTGTAAAATTCAAGATCAGTTTTGGCAATGCAGAAAGAAGGGAGAGTCATGAATATTGCACATTAAACTAACTTGAAGTTACATGGATGATCAGTGACAACCAGTCCTTAATTTGTGTGTAAACCATGTAGTTGTGTGGATTATTTGATGCACATTGATATATATATATATATATATATATATATAACATGTATATTCATGGATGGATAGATAATGTGTCAGGTATGTATTTATTATCATTAGTATTAATAATTACTTATTTCAGAAATGGTCATATAAGAGAGTGACAACGGACTAGTACAACAAATGGTCTAATAGAGATGTGATCCACAACTTTTTGTCCTTCCTCTGTACAATTCCAAAGGTCAACTCATTTAAACAAAAAATGACTTGGAATAATAAACCAATTCTGCATATACTTCACATTTTAATTATTTTGTCAATTTGGTATTTACAAGCAAATATTATATATTTATGTTTTGTATGTATGTACGTATGCATTATGTAAAACTCTTAATTTTAGAAGTACTGCAAACTGGTGATCACAAACTATCATAGGAAGATCAATAAGATTGGATAAAAGGGCTGTGCTTGCTAATATAAGAATAATTTCACTGTGCAAAATTCTCCATGCTGTATCGTTCCCTTCAAGAGAATATTATCATATGAACGAATCATTCCCTGGTTACAATCAAATCAAGCAACAATCATTCCTTCTAAGTTTTGTATTTTTTTTTCTATTTTTTTTGTTTTCCCGATTTTATTTATTTATTTATTTATTTATTTATTTTGTAATAATCTGAAGATTGAATGACAGGGAGCATCCAAGACCCAAACGCTTGAAAATCTGATACTGGGTTCCAAGAAAAGCACATTCATTCATCAACACCTGGATAACACACAAACCGAGCCATACAATTTTACACAACTTTCAACGCAAAACTCGTATGCTTATTATGGCAAGCAAAAACTTTGAAACACATATTTTAAACCGTACAGGGAACAACTGCAGAAGCAGAAGCTAAGCTCAGCAGCTGACTATTACTTTGAGGGCCACAACTTTAAATAACAAAAGGATAGTCATTTTGTTTTCATTTTCCAGTGAGGACGAAATGTGAAGAAGCTGCCAATTATACCCATACATGCTGTGAAGGATATGGTTATGTGGGATCCGAATGGGCTCTACCGTGAATAGTAGAAAACAGCGATACCTCAGCTCAGACCCGGAGGAGCGAGACTCTTCCGCGGCTCCCGAAGTTCGATGATGCCTCCCACCCCCACGCTTCCACAGTTTCACCTCAGCCCCAGAACAGAACCAGGAAGGGGTATCTAGTTTCAAAAATATCGGGGAGCCCATGGGCAGATGATGCACCAGTTGCTCCCCCTACTCTCCGAAAAGGCCCTCTAGCCTTTCTACAAAAAGATCTTACAAGCAGGAAATGATGGCCACCCAGGTCATATCGCCAATCAAATCCTGCGTCAGAAAGGCGCCTTTCGCGACAATCGAATCCTGCCACCTTCGAGACCCACGACTCATCACACAATTTATCCGTTCTCCAATATTGACCATGAACTCCGCAGGGGCCGTGGGTGTGTAGTGTTTTTTATTAGTCTTTCGATCTCGTGACCCCAAACCACCGAAATCGTTCCTCGCTCCAATTTCGGGTCTCCACTTTCAACTTTTCGAGCCGGAGTCTTCCGCCAGCCAACTCATCGACCTCGCCACCCAGCAGTTGCGTCTGCCGAGCCCAACGAGAAGCGAACTTATAATAACTGGGTCGCGGCTCATTCCAAAAGGTCTTCGTTGGAGCCATCTTGAAGGTTCCTACAATCTACACCATTTATAGCCTGCGCGTGATTCAAGTTGTAAAGCTGGGTTTGCAGTGTTCGCCAACTTTCCGGTGAGTTTGAACTAACTAGGGCAACCCTCGCGAGGAAAACCCTCAACTGCACATCCCTCCCTCTTCTTAACCCTATTTTTGCCATTCTCCGTTGCTATTTCCCGGCGTTTTATTACATCGAGCTGAATAGCACCAGCGCCCTTCCCGCGCGTTCTACCTCGTCCACGTGTCATAAAATATTCCACCCGGCGGAAGGTGTCTAGAAGCATCTCCTTCTCCTCCCCTAGAGCATCTCGTAAAAGACTATAATGTCCTGTGGTCGTGGTGTAGGTGGATCCCCTACATGTCTAGATTCTTCTTTTCATTCTCTTCGTTGTGGATGGCGTGTGGATGTGGATGAATATGTTATGGATGGATATGTCGTTCGCTATGACTGGCGGATGCAGATCCAAGTGGGGCGGACGTTGAGTTCTCTTTTCTCTATGCTGCCTGGGGAACGCGTCCCCCTTAAAGTTCGTTTTGCCAATGACTTGCACGATGCTTGCAATACGTGGCTCTACATTTCGAGACTTCTCGTTCACTTTGTTTTCTTTTTTTTGTGTTTGAAAAAACATCAACTAGATGATTTATTCATATATTGTTCTAAAGAAGTTGTTGTGAGGTGTGCATGGCTATGTAGGTGGGTTTCCACCATCAGAACTCTATCTGAGACGTGTGTGTGTGTGTGTGTGTGATTTTACTTATTTTTATTTTATTTTTCTCTTGTTCTCTTGTAAAGGTAAGTAATCAAAAAACCTAGTTTCAAGCTCAATGCACACTTAATGTAATTCTTCAAAGCTATGTCAATCAAACAGCTTCCAATTGACACTAGGTATTGTTTTTTATTTCGTAAAAAATATATATTACTTTACAATTCAATGAATTAAACAAACACAAAACAAAGAGTTCTAACAAATGTCAAAAGTTGAGCACCATTCTGTGAGCAGACTATTTGTTTTAAAAATATCAGGATTTGAATCTTATGCTATATGACCCCTTTTGTGGAACACAGTAAGAGAGGAGAAATAAAAACAAGAATAATATGGATAATTAAGCCCTTGAAAAAATGTATATTGTTCACAGCTAGTGTAAAACTAAATTCA